CGTCATTGGTCCATTCGAGAAGACGAGATGATCCGCATTGCTACCCTGCTCCGCATCATTTGAGGAACAAGACAGATTGTGATTTTATGTTTCCTTTTTCTGTTAAGGCAATCCAACATTGCCATTTCTTGTAAAGTGCACATATGTTCTTTCCTCTTTTACTCCTCTCGATTTTGTTTATAAGTTAGAAAGTCTGATGTAATTAGAATTATAAGGGAATAAAGTGATATTCTTTTTAGAATTTCGCCCCCTAAACCTAAATCATCCTTTATCAATTCTGTCTTCATTCTCGATTCAACAACATCAAATCGAGTTCAATCTTGCTTCATTCGTTCTTGAATCTCGAAATACTCTAAAATCTATAATTGCAAACTCAGAGAGATGCATCTCGATATGAGGTTGATAAGTCAATTGATTTTATTATCGGAGAAAGCTATCGGGGCAACAAACCGAAAGAGAAAATTCAAAAACTGATAAGAAGTGCCGAGAATGGAGATGCAAAGGATAATTTTTTGCTCATCAAATATAGGCATACAGAGGATTCTTCAACTATTATGGAGTTTGGTATTGTATCTCTAAACTTTTCTTATACCAAAATACCATATTTGATCCTAGAATTGAAAAGCGTAAGAGACAATATGCAAGACAGGCCCACAACGGAAAGAAGGAGGTTCCAGATTTGAGGGCAATTCATTTTCAAGAGAAGGGTAATGTTGTGATCATCACTAGCAATATGGACATGGAAAAAGACAAGGCATTTCCAGTGATACTTCACAACAATTCAAAAACTTCATGCCCTATATGTTGAGATGTGAAAAGCTTTTGACCCAAAACATGAAGATTTTTAAGTTGGATCAACCGTTATCAAGTTAAGCCCATCACAAGCTTAATTATGCCCATGAGAGTGAATTATGAAGGTCAAAATAACGAGGTCAAAGTCAATTATGGGAACACACTTTTCAAAGGCATTTCTAGCTCCTTCTTGAAGACCACATTGTTTATGAACACTCTCTTGAAGACCACACCTATCAAACATTTTATTTTGTATTTTATTAATATTATTTTGCTAATTTTCATGTTGTTTTATCCTATAAATAGGATACACAAATCATATTGTAATAATCAATCAATCATTATCAATCAAAACTTGTGAGAAGTATTCTCTTTTAGTTCATTTCGAACTGTTTTTGAACTTATCGACCCTTTTGTCAAGTTTTTACATACCATTGCATAATAAAAATTCAGAGCATTTCTTGTTCATCTCTCTCTCGATTTTGTCTTGAAATTCTCAAGCAAACCCGAGTCTTCGAGCTAGTGTTTGGGTGGGATTCTCAATTTCATTAGCCGAAACCTTTGTGACGAGATCAAAGAATCTATCATCCCTCTTTGTGGTGTCATCTATCCAACCTAATTTCCATCCTCTTTGAAGTGAAATCTGAGTGCTCATAACCCTAGAACACTTCTCCACTATTTTCTCTTTTGAATCATTCGGTGCGAAGCTCCTAAGCCTACCGAATCTCCAACCTATCTCGCATCTTGATCCATTGGACAACCGTGCGTGTATCATTTTTGGTATCAGAGCCCGACTCAAGGCCACACGCAAGGTAACGCTGTTGATTCGATTTTAGTCTTGTTATTTTGATTTGTGTGTGTTTGTGCAAGAACAATGCCTGAGAACGCAGAGAACTCTCAAGCTGAGATCTTACAAGTCCTACAATGCCTAGAGGAACACTTAACGCGTTTAGAAGAGGCACCGCGAAAGATACAACTGTTAGGTTCAATATGCGCCCCAATAACGCAAATCTTGAACCGGATCCACCTGATGCACAACAAAGACCAAGGAGAATGCAAAATCCGAGAGCTCCTCTCGAAGAGGAAGAAGATTCTGATCATTCATGTGACACCCGTATCCCGATTCCTGCAAATAGGATGCGTCACATGGACTGAAACCAATAAAATAATACCAAACAAAAATACAGGAATTTTAAAACTTTTATTTTATAAACATGCAGCGGAATAGTTTAATACAACCTTTAATTGCCACACGTCTAATCTTAAAAAATACAACGCAAAGGAAAATATCATTTTAAAAAAATTAACACAAATCAAATCCATACATGATGCTGCCTCTCTCAAGTCTTCGTCCTCGTTTAGATACGCTACACGTACTCTTCATGATCTGAAAAAGACGAAACCGCGAGGGTTAAGCACAACCTCTTAGTGATTAGCCCGGGTTGAACCCGGTAAACCCGTTCTCAGCGAGAACGGTGTTAAAACCCTAGTCAAATCAGCATGACTAGGGATGCATCACACGCCCGTCACTCGCATGACGTTGGCCGTCGCATCGCACGACAGTATCGTCTCAAGCGCTTGTCACTCGCGTGACTACCGATGTCAAGTCAGCATGACACAACGGAAATGTAACCACACCCATATGGATTCCACCATAGGGTTCCAGCCATGAACCCTAGTCAAGTGAGCATGACTAGGTGCGCGTCGTACGCCCGTCAAATCCATGACGTTGGCTGTGTCAAGTCAGCATGACACAATAAAATCGTAACACACCCATATGGAGTCCACCATAGGGTTCTAGCCATAAATCCTAGTCAAGTCAGCATGACTAGGAGCGCCTCACACGCCCGTCAAGTCCATGACATTGGTCATCGCATCGCATGCAACTATATCACAATCACAATCACGCTTCTCTCGTAACTGATGACATGTATATATTGATATATTTTTGTATAATAAATATATTATGTTTCGTGAAATTTTTATATATAAACGTTATTTTGTATAGTTTTACACCGATTTCGATGTTTTCGATATTTGGCAGGAAAAATGAAGATTCGAATGTAAACGTTGCATTTCAAGAGAATCAGACAAAAACGAGTGAACGAGGAGATATATATATTCGTATGTAATCGTGTGTATATACTTATAGTTTGTATATATATATTATCGATTGAATATATGTAGTATATATGTACTATATATAAATGTATGTATATTTACATATGCATATTTGTATACGTATATAATTATATATAGTGTGTGCATATATAAATATATATTTTATATTTTATGCATAAGGGACGCGTGTATATAATATGTATATAATATGTATATATATTCATAAGGGAACAAGAAGGGCATATCTCGATAACCATGTGCATGCATATCATATGTGTATATATGTATAATATATATATTAATAAATATATATATGTGTGTATGTATATTATAGTACATGTATATATATATATCTATATATGTATAAAGCAGAAGCAAACAATGGTGTATGTATATATAATATATATAGAATAAAAATAATAAAGAAGAGAAGAAGATAACTCTCGTGAGACAAAGCCATCTCCCTCTTTTGTTTTTAGTGTCCTCAAACGATGTGCAACAACACTTCTTGGCCTAAGTCAGAGTACATACATTGACAAGGTCTTGAATCGGTTCAAGATGCAAGACTCCAAGAGGGGTGCCTTGCCAATGGGACATGACATTGCTCTTAGCAAGACTCAGTGTCCAAAGACACAGGATGAGCAAGAGCGCATGAGTAGGATTCCATATGCCTCGGCAATTGGATCCATCATGTATGCCATGTTGTGTACTCGTCCAGATGTATCATATGATTTGAGCATGACTAGTAGATATCAATTTACACCAGGTGAGGCTCACTGGATTGCGGTCAAGAACATCCTTAAGTACTTGAGAAGGACTAAGGATTTGTTCTTGGTGTATGGCGGATTGGAAGACGAGCTCGCTATAAGTGGTTATACCGATGCTAGTTTCCAAACCGATAGAGATGACTTCAGATCGCAGTCAGGTTATGTTTTCTGCCTGAACGGTGGGGCTATCAGTTGGAAGAGTTCCAAACAGCCAACCGTGGCAGATTCGACTACAGAAGCCGAGTACATAGCAGCATCAGATGCAGCTAAGGAAGCTGTTTGGATCAGAAAATTCGTGGGAGACCTGGGCGTTACTCCTAGCATTGCAGATCCCATTGAGTTGTATTGTGACAACAATGGTGCGATTGCACAAGCTAAGGAACCCCGGTCACACCAGAGATCCAAACACATACTCAGGCGATTTCACTTGATCAGAGAAATCATCGACAGAGGAGACGTGAAGATAAGCAGAGTGTCGACAGATGATAATATTGCCGACCCATTGACGAAGCCTCTCCCTTCGTCAAAGCATGATGGTCATGTTAAGGGTATGGGGATTAGATGCTTGTAGGATAGATCATAGAGCATAGTGGGAGATTGTTGGTTGTAATGCTCTAGGATAATTCATGATATGACATTTTACTTTGTATTGATTCATTGATTTATGAATGCGTTACATTCCCGTTATATGATTGGCATGTTTGTTATATTGCGGTATCCTTGAATCATTATAAAATTATTCTAAACACCCTGGTTAGTTATCATTGTGGGAACAATGATGAATTAAGACCAGCATGATGTGTGATAGATGATTATGATCAT